AAGGCATATCCTATAACCTCAAAGAGTTAACAGTCTCCTACAGTCTGTTGGGGAAGCATAATTGGCATTAGGGAAACAATTAGAGCACAGTTGAGTGCTAAATTATGTGGTACAAGCCCCTGGGCAACAGTGCAGGATGATGGCTCAGAGGAGTTCTCTGCCTCCAAGGGGAAAGTGGAACTTGAGCTGGGTTAGGAAGCAGGAAGTCACATTCTGAAAAGTCTAGGCAGAAGGTGTAAGGCTTTTCAAGTACCAGGTAACTTCTCATACCTTCTTGTTTTCTGACATTTTAAAGTTTTTGTTTCGGGCCTGCCTACCTCCATGAGCATGGAAGCTTGATGAGGTCAAGGACTCTGTCTTTACTGTTCACCACTGAATCCTCAGTTCCTGGAACAGTGCCTGGCACACAGTGGATGTTCCATGGATATATGAACGAACAAACGACCATGGTGTGTGTGAGGAACAGTGAGAAGACTGTTCTGTCTGGAAAGAGGTGTCTCTCTCTGGGACTAGGGGACTCTCCAACAGACCAGCAGAGGAGCAGCCAAGTGAGCCTCAACACACAGGAGCAAGTGGGGTAAACAGGATAAACAGGATGTGGGAGCCACTCACAATTGCCAAGGTGGACCTTGTATAGATTGCAATAGGGGACTTGAACCTGAAATCAAAACAAAAAACAAAACTGCTCTGCACAACCTACAGGACTCCATGTACTTGGTCAGCCAACAGCTAAAGTTGGAAGAAAAAAAAAGGATTTGTTTAGTCCTATCCTACCTTTCCCTTGTTAAGAACATAGGCAACTATTAATGTGATCACAATACTTTTATTAATGCCTACCATGATTGCATTCACTATTTAAGCAGATAGATTCATTGCTGTCTCATATTGAGCCAACTGCCGAACAAGAACTGGTCTGTTTTGTCATACATTGTTGTTTTGTAGGTCTATATTTTGTTTTCCATCCTATATTTGTGCAATTGATTGTTGGGTCTAAATGCAGTGCTTTGCATTTTTCCTGGTGCATTCTTATTGATTTGAGACCATCTTTCAGCTTATGGAATTCATTTAAAATCTTGATCCTATCATCAATCACAGCAGTTATCCTCTTAGCTTTGTGCATCCATACATGCGATCTACAAATGCCCCAAGGATGTGGATGCCTAGATCTAATTTGGAGAATCCTAAGGGGCGAGGAGTGTTTGCCGGCTGACTCACCCTCAGTCATGGGCAAAACCAAAATGATGTGTGGCCACTAGGACGGGGATGTGTGGGAAACTTCACGCTGGAGTTGGGAAAGGAGTAACTGTTGGAATTCCAGGTTGAGGCAGATCCAAGTCAGAATCTCTGGTTTCAGCAACCCAGAAAGATTTCTTCTAGGAAGCTGCTTTTATAAGTAAAAGGGGAAAAAATTGCTTGATAATTTTTGAGGCCTGGCAGGGATGGGGAAAGGGCATGTTGTTCAGTTTAGAAGCCAAACTAGGGGATGGGAAGAGGATGACTGGCCAGCTTAGACTGTTAGAGCTTGGGTCTCCTTGCTGGCAGGCGGATATTAAATTCACTTAGAATCAAGACCACTGTGAATATCTTTCCCCTCTTGCTCTTGGGAATAAATCCTACTTTGATGTTTTAAGCTGTTTCTCTTCTGTTAGCCACTCCCCAGGTTTTCACCCAAATCCTGCATGGGTCTCCTTTGTACCTTTCCTCTCACTCTGTCTCTGTTATAAAATCAATTACAATTTGCTTACATCTCCAGTTATGGGGGTACATTTTCCATCTGCTCCAAACATGCACACCCTTGGACTGCACCACTCCCCGCTCCTCCTGCCTCCCCAACCCAAGCCGCCTCCCCAGCAACTTTATCTTCCTAAGCAGCTCAGGAACACAGATGTTTTCACCCTGTTGCTCCAGCACAAGGGTATTTTCCCAGTGTCTCTCTGTGTGTATGCTCCAGGCACCGTCTCTCTGGGGAGGGAGAGAGTAAATGTTTTCATTCCAAACCCTCAGGGTCAGGTCTTGTTTGTCTAAACTGTGTTTGTTGCCGTAATTATCAGATTAGCTGATCTCTGACAGCAAGTTGGGGGTTGGAGAGGGGGGAGACTATTAACCCTCTGTAGGATGGTTGCTGTGCTTTCTCGTGAGAATACCTTTGGGAAGAGCTGTCATTTATCTTCTAACCTGGAAGATTTGTCTAGAATTCTTTTCACCAACCCTAACAGACCTTCATAATAGTCTGTTCTAAGTAAATCCAACCATCTAGCAGGCTCCACTGCTGGGATCCAACAGGCATTTAGCAGAGATGGAGGGTTGAAAGGGCATCTCTCCAGGGATCTGCTGGGAAGAGAAAGAAATGGAGCTTAAAGAGGATCTGGGTAAATAACTCTACAAACGGTGTCGGTGCCTCTTAGACCGAATAAGGAAGCCAGGAGTATGCACTGAACATCTTCAGCTTGTCCACCCATCCCCTCCCGCTTGGCATAAGTGCAGCGAGGTTACCAGGCCCCACTTAGCATTGTTTGGGGATTTTCTGTTGTTTCCAAGATTGTTAAGATAATTTTTCACCGCTGCTGTTTTAACAAAACTAAATGTGTAGACATTTGTGAGTCTTTGTCATCAGACTCATATGGCTGGTGCTTTCAAAATGTTCACATATGCCCTTTCCTTCTGCCCACAGCACCCTTGAACTTCTATATGGTCTCCAAAGACATGATAAATACAGAGAATGTTCTCTCCTCTCAACTGTAACAGTAATGATTCCTTTGCATTTTAATTAAGTCTTTTGCACATGAATAAGTCTTGCATCCTCAAATGGACTAAAGACTCCTCGAGGACAAGAACTATCCTTCAGTCCCATACATAGGTTACCTGGCAAAGGACCCTAAATGCAGGTGTTTAATAAATATTTTTTGTTGACAGCATTTTTCCAAACTTCTTTTTTCCATTTCTCATCTCTGTTCCTTTCTGGGTTTGTATTTGGTTTTTAGTTACTTATGATGTTTACAGATCCTTTATTTATGGAATGGTCCTCCAATTCATACTCATCAACTCAATTCCTCCTCTTCTCTCCAAACACACACACACACACACACACACACACACACGCACAGAGAGACAGAGAGAGAGAGAGAGAGAGAGAAACCTTTACCAAACATCTGTATACCTAGTACTGTACAAACTTATTCTATGTGCAATTTCTTATTTGAAACCCACCGTGGCTTGTGAGGTAAGTACTATCACATGTAAGAAGGCAGAGACTCAGACTCAGAGAGTTAAGTAACATAAACAAGCTCCCACAATTGTAAGTTCCAGGTGTGTGTGACTCTAAAACCCATACAAATCCCATCTTGCTAGTTACTAAAGTGGAGAAAAGTTCAGATAATTAGAGAAAACATATGTTTTGCCCAAACCTAACTAAAACTCAACCAACCTATCTTCAGTATTTTTCCCCAACAAATACAGCTATAATAATTTCTTTGTAAAATTAAAAGAAGCTCAAACCCATACATTCTGGACAATATCTTATACAACAAAATCATTTTGATATTGTCTTAGCATATGTTTTAAAGTGAATTTGACTCATTCATCCATGTCCATGCTGTTTATAAAGCTGTCACTTCTTGCAGGCAAACATGATTTTTAGAATATTCTATGTAATCCACATACTGATTCATCAAACCGCTATTGAAAAGCTGCTGTTAACTTAGAATATCCCCATGTTCTGAGAAGACAAAAGTCTTTCGTCTTTATTGATGTTGCCAGGCCTGGTTCCAAATGTGGACAGGGCACAGGCAGAGATTCTTGGGAGGAAATGTTCAGAAGCAGAATTGGTCAGGGAGTTTCCATATGGTGCTCCTGGTCAGCCCCAGAAGCAGGTATCAGATGGATTTCCATGGAAGCAAACAGCCAGGGAGCCAGCTCTTCTCTCCCTCTAGGGAGGTGTTCTGTTCATTATGCAGCCAGCTAAGATGCTATCCTCATCACTCTTCTACCCAGGGTTTCCCTCTCTCTGGCACCTCCCTGCACTGCTCTTACGTCCTTCACCACAAGCCACACAGGAGGAAGATCCAACAGATCTTGAATAGGTCAACCAAACTGTGTTTGTCAGTTCTGATAAGAGAATCAATTGTAGAGAAATTCGAATGACTATTTTGTTCCCAATCCAGAAACCCCTGTCCTAACTTGAATAAAAATTCACTGGGCTACATTCAGAAGGTTTTTAAAGAGCCTGGGAAATAGAAAGAGATGATACAAGGGCCTAAAGGGAAATTCAAAGAAGGGCTTATTTTTAAAGATAAAACATTCAGAAAAATAGAAAGGTGATTTTGCCATCTTGTGGAAGTGTATTGCACATATGTTGAGCAAAATGAGACCAATTCTTATGATAAAAGAATTTCAGGTTCTTAGAATACCTTACTTGATCCCGGTTATGAATAGTTAGCTTGTTCTTGTTAAGATGTTTGAAGTGCTCAGGATATTTTCTGGCCCAGATGCCAGGAGATCTGACTGCCCCTAATAGCTGTGTGGCCTTCAGTGAGATACATATCCCAACACTTATCTGGACAGTTGGTATTGGACTAGATGACATCGGGTTCTTTCTTTTGTTGGTGTGGCATCATATTCTGGGCCCCTGAAGGGAAGCAAATAAGGAAAGTTATTTAGAAAAATGATGTTTTCTTGATTTAATTTTGCAAAATGCTTAGAATGGTGCCTACCACATAGTAGTGTTAGAATTGTTAGTGTCTATAGAAGTGGAAGCTATTATAGAAGTGTTAGCTATTATCATTGACATGATAAGGATGATGGGCATGGATCCATGCACTAGAGACACATTTTTACCTCCATATCTAAATTTAAGAAAAATAATGCAATACTAATCCAGTATTCTGATAACTTTAAAGCCCTTTGTCTCTCTCTCTCTCTCTCTCTCTCTCTCTCTCTCTCTCTCTCTCTCCTCTCTCTCTCTCTCTCTCTTTTTTTACATGGAGTCTTTCTTTATTACACAGGCTGGACTCAAACTCCTGGGCTCAAGTGGCACCACTGCACCCAGCAAAAACCTTAACAGAAAGGAAATAAGCCATGGCTACTAAAAATTAAGAATAGTTATTATCCACAAGAGGTGCTCGCTGCCTCTTCGCAGAAGTGATTCTCAGCCAGAGACCTCAGTATTTGGAGAAGAGACCTCTTATCTATTCCCCAGGGGTCTCAGACCATTCAAATCAAAGGAGAACAGTTGATAACCTTAGAATTAATGGAAGGAGTGTCTGCTAAGCAAACAACCACAGAGAGATGTTTTCTTTGAAAATTCAGCTTTATTATTTGGCCATGTTATGAATCGGGCTGCCTTGGGAAGTAGTGAGTTTCCCTTCCCTGGACTCACAGATTCAGACATCAGATGGCTAGATGGACTGCACGACTTTGAAGAACCTTTCCCACAATGTCTCTGATTCTAAAGCAAAGCCTGCCCAGAATTACAAAGTGTCACAATGCCTGTGGGCAATAGAGCAGCAGAGACTGGGCTTCAGCCAGAACACCTAGTTCTCTGGGAGCATAATATCAGCCTGGAACATCTTGCACCTTGAATGGTGAAGCTGTGTCTTCTAAGACTTTCATAAAAAGGTGATCCATGGAGCGCGTTACTCAGCAATGCCCTCGTTTATTCTCTCTTTTCAATTCTAAGACCTAAGAATGGAAAGCACTAAGGGAATGTCAGAGTCACACAAAAAGGGAAGGGCCAGAATCCTGGTTTCCAGTCAAGGCTGAACCTCCAGCTTTCCCTCTCTATAAACAGATGGAGTTGTCTTGAGCTGAAGATACTTTCTAACTACTTTCTGCCCATAGCAACAGTCCAATAAAAACCTTCACTGAATAGAAACTCATGTGCAATATTAGAGCAAGATGAACTCAGAATAAGACAGAAAAGAAACTAAATAAAGAAGAGAATGGCAAAAGAGCAGAAAATAAAGAACTGAAGAGGCAAAGTAGAGAAAATAAGAAAATGAAGGGAGTTTTTTTTTTTTTTTAAGTCTACTCTGAATGTATGAGATGTAGAGAGGCTTAACGTTTAAAAACTGCAAAGAAAGAAAGATGGTAACATGCATTACATACTAAGAAAGCTACACAAAAGAGAGTAGGGTTAAAAAAAGTTATAAATCTCCATAATTTAACTAAGATTATCTGATGAGAACATCCACAAGAGATGCTAGCTGCCTCTTTGCAAAGTAATTCTCAGCCAGAGACCTCAGTATTTGGAGAGATGGCCTGTCTATTCCCCAGGGATCCTAGACCACCCACATTAAAGGAGAATAGTTGATAACCTCATCATTAGAAGCAAGGCTTCGTTGAGCCACCATAGGACCTTTACACTTGCCTTTTCTTGGAGGACTCCCTTCTTCCTCCCTTCACTACTCTCCATTTCCTGCTTGTCGTTACTCTAATTACTCTTACTGTTATTTTGCGATGGTTGGTCTGGAGGACCTTCAAAATCCCTTCCAACCCTCTGAGTCCACAATTCTCTACTTCTGCTTTCAGAAGTACTCCCTACTGTTGCCTTTACTGGGATCTGAGGTCCAGGGAATAGTGTAGCGGTATGTGATGGGCACAGGGATCACTCACGTGATAGCTTGTGCACATTGCCATGGCTCAGCTATCTCGCTGCTGGTGGAAATAATCTCGAAGAGTTGGTTCCAGGTCCATGAAGAGGTTGCTTGGTATCAGACAGTAGTCACCACTTGAAGCAGAAGCCATGTTTCAAAGCAGCTGAGAGTTATTTTATTAATGACAATAAGGGTGATGAACTAAGTAATTTGATGAGCACTTAAAGACAAAATCATAGAACCTGCCCCTGAGGAATTCACAAACCAAATGTGGCAAGTCTAGGTCCTACACATTCATAATAATCATCGCTGCCTGGTACTGAGCACCTTCCAGGTGCTGGGTGCTGCTAAGCATGTGAACTTTGCCAAGTTATTTAATCCTCATAACATCCAAATGAAGCAAGTACTGTTGTCATCCCCACCTTACAAATGAGGTAGTGGAAGCCCAAAGATTGCATAGTTTACTGCTATCAGTCAGCTTGTGACAGATTGGGATTCAAATAATATATGCTTGGAGGCACGTTACTAGGCTGCCTTCATAAGTCCCCTTTTTGCATCAAACAAAATCCATTTAATGACTCAAGATTGACTGCAAGAGAACTGAGGTCCCCAGATTCACCTCACTCTGATTTTAACACTACTTTCAAGAACTGATGCTTGGGGCCTGCTCCTATGAGTCCTTTCTCACCATGTCATCTGTGATCCAATCTGCTTTAACCTGTCTGTTCTCTTACCTGTCTGAACCTGCAGATGCCCACACTGAGGGATTCTCAGCCCTGGAATCCTCCATGTCTTCCCCTCACTTCACCAATCTATCCACAACCCTGACTGCATCAAGCCTTCATAGCAATGGCAATGTTCCCCAAAACTGACTGCAGATGCCTGTGACCTTTGGGATTCCCACCTGTGCTACTTGTCCTGTTCTTAAATCAAATGAATGACCAAGTCAGGGATCATAAACCATCTTCAAGACAAGAAGTCCTGCTCTCCAGCATCTTGTCCCCTGATTCTAGCATGATGTCTTCTTTTTAACTACTTTCTGCCCATAGGAAGAGTCCAATAAAAAACTTCACTTGGCCTCTATACTAATTTACAGTTAAAATTACTAGCTTTGTGAGATTATGCAAAGTATTCATGTAACTAGGATTTGGGGATAGAAGAGGCAGAAATGTTTTCCCATAACAATAACTAATATAGCTATTGTAAATGATATTAGCATTTTTTTACTTAATCCAACAATACTTTTTCAACCCAACTTGAAGATTATAATTATCTGAAAAGAAGGATATTAATTGTAATTCAGACTTTTTTAGACCAACTTCCCCATTCTTCCAGTCACCCCGCCCTACCTTCCCCATGCCCTCCAGGTATCCAAAATTGTGGAATCAGCATGAATAGGGCTGGGTACCCTGTGAATACTTGGTAAATATTAACTGTCTAAATGAATTAATCTATTTGCCTCTGGTATAAGTACTTTTGCTGTCTCTCAAATTCAAGTCATTTCCTCTCCTTTTACAAACACAGGCCTTCATGCATTTAATTCAAACAGTTATTTACTTAGGGCTATTATGGCCTCCACAAATGCACAGTCTGGTAATGGTGCAAGCCAGTATGAGAACAAGTGCTCAGATGAGGGCCACATCAATGGGGAAATAGAACGTGGGCCTTGACCTCAGCAGACCTGCCTTAATTGTAAACGTGGAGTATTGACACCCAGTTCCCAGGGTTATTAATAACATTGAATGTTTTGGGGGTTTGTTGAGCACTATGTGTACAAACCTCTTCAATTCTCCCTGATCCCCTACATGGGGAGAAGTGGGACTTTAAAGGGGCTGAACAATTTGCCCGCCTTGAAGTCTCACAGCTAGTGGTGGGCAGTGCTGGAATTTGAACATGCTCTTAACTCTTCCTTACAATATCTTGTTTGTGGGAGTGGCCTCGAGGATTAAACTCCTGTCAAGTTCCTCTCAGTATGTCAGTTTCCTCATCCCCTTGTCAGGAGAGGAGGACAGTAAGTTCCAGGTGTGGAAATTGGTCATGTAATCTTAGCCCTGGATAAATGTGAACGTTATCTCCTGAGGGGCAATGGTCTACCGGCCACTCAGATCTACTGTTGCCCCAGGAAGGAAGAAAGAATTGGGATTCTTCTTCCCCTTGAGGGGACTGAGGAGTAGAACTGCAATTAAATCAATGGACTTTGGGGACTTGTGGGGAAGAGTGGGAAGGGGGCAAGGGATAAAAGACAAGAAAAATGGTGCAGTATATACTGCTTGGGTGATGGGTGCACCAGGATCTCACAAATCACTGCTAAAGAACTTACTTATGTAACCAAATACCACATGTACTCCAATAACTTATGGGAAAAACAAAACAAACAGAACCCTTAGCCACTCTGGAAGGACTGCAGTTAAATTACGAAGAGGAGCAGTACATCCACTGTCAGTACATCTACTTGGATGCTTTTGTCTTTTCTGGTTGCAGCTTGGTTTCGTCTTCTTTCTTAGAAAATGTTCCTTTACTTGTGAAAAGTGCTATCCTTGTTTCTGCTGAACACAGAGAATAAGGGGGTTTGTCTACACCCATGTTGGCTCCAAGAGAGGATCAAAGTGTCCTTTGGGTTAGATGTGGTGACGGCAGCTGGAGAACTAGAGGAACCTGGAGGAACTGGGTAGACGGAGAGGGGAAAAGGTGGGAGGCAGTTCGAAAGCCAGGATAACTCATCTCTTACTGCAGGGAATTCTACTACCAGCTCTTCCCAGCAGGCTTTTTCCCTCCCCTGCAAAAGGCAGACAGTGCCCCAGGAGGTCAGAGATGGGGCTATCCTAATGCCTTGGTAAGACTGGCTGGAGGCAGTGGAGTATAAAAAGAAAGACTTGGCTGGGTGCAGTGGCTCACGCCTGTAATCCCAGCACTTTGGGAGGCTGAGGTGGGCGGATCACAAGGTCAGGAGTTCAAGACCAGCCTGACCAATATGGTGAAACCCCGTCTCTACTAAAAAAAATACAAAAATTAGCCGGACGTGGTGGTGCGCACCAGTAGTCCCAGCTACTTGGGAGGCTGAGACAGGAGAATCACTCGAACCCGGGAGGCAGAGGTTGCAGCGAGCCAAGATTGCACCACTGCACTCCAGCCTGGGCAACAGAGCAAGACTCTGTCTCAAAAAAACAAAAAACAAACAAACAAACAAACAAAAACCTTATAAAGCTTCAGGGCCAAAGATACCAGCTGTGAGATTTGGACAAGTTACTCAACCCTGCTGAGTGTCCTGGTATATAATGACAATGAGACACACACCTCACAGGGAAGCTGTGACAAGCTAATGAAGTCAAGTTCATAAGGGACCTGGCAGAGTAGGTGACAGTCGAGCACCTGGCGAAGGATGTGACACTTAGGCTGCAGCCACAATACATAGGAGAATTTGACTTTTGCTATATCCTACCCAAAACTTGGCCGGGCTGTTCTGATCCTCCCAAGAAAATGTGTGATGACAGTAACTCTAATAGCCACTAAAGTTAGTCAATTTTGGGAAAAGAAAAAGGAGAAACAGGAGCTGCAAAGCAATTCCATTATCAGGGAAGGCAAAAATGGAAAGGAAAATTTTAGAAGAAAAGTAATACATAGTAAATCTAGAAAATAATCTGGAGTACCTCGCTAGAAGGTCTAAATTTAATCTTAAAAAAGAAATCTTGGCACCTGGGGTGGAAAAACAAATCATCTTTTTTTGCTGACTGTACACGTAAGATGATTAAAGTAGCAATAGAAAAGAGCTTTTAAAAAAAAATGATGGTAAAAGGTAAAAGGGAAATCCCACACATGACTCCTAATTTTAAAACAATTATAGTAAAATATTTATCACATAAGTTTACTGTCTTAACCACTTTTATGTGTAGGGTTCAGTGGCATTAAGTACATTCACATTGCTATGCAACCATCACCACCATCCATCTCCAGAACGCCTTTCATCTTGCAAAACTGAACCTCTGTATCCATTAAACACTAACTCCCCATTCCTACCTTCCCCTACTCCCTGGCAACCACCATTCTACTTTCTGTCTCTATGAATTTGACTACCCTATGTACCTCATATAAGAGGAATCACACAGTATTTGTCTTTTTGTGATTGACTTATTTCACTTAGCATAATGGACTCCCAGCTTGCTAACTAAATATATTCCAAAGTCATTTACAATGTGATGTATGGATATAAGTCACAGTAAATTTTTTTCTTTTTTTCTTTTTTTGAGATGGAGTCTCGCTCTGTCACCCAGGCTGGAGTGCAGTGGCACCATCTTGGCTCACTACAATTTCCGCCTCCCAGGTTCAAGCGATACTCCCGCTTCAGCCTCCGGAGTAGCTGGGACTACAGGCATGCACCACCAGCTAAATTTTTATATTTTTAGTAGAGACGGGGTTTCACCATGTTGCCCAGGCTGGTCTTAAACTCCTGACCTCAGGCGAATGTTTTAAATAAAGTGAAAATTCAGATCCTACCAGGCTGGCTTGACCCAATGCCAATTTCCATAATGAAAATGGCTCTCCCCAGATATGGAAGAGCAAGTGCATACAGATGCAATGTGATCCCAGTGAAACCCCAAATGCAGCTTCTGGGGCCACAAACTTCTGCCCCTGTCTTGAATTTCTTTGTGTTGCCACAACATAAGAGTTCAGAGAGGTGTTGACAGCACTTCCCTTTATGCTTTCCATAGGGTGCATCTCATTATTACCCCTTCCCTGGACATTCACAATAACTCCAAATATGCAGGCAGACCATAAGTTAGACTACTTATATTTACTGAGAGCTTACCATGTACCATACACAGTCAACATTTTAAAGTGGACAGTTTTAAAGAGAAAACTGTAATGGGAAACATAATCATCTCCTACCATCTCTGTTCCTTTCTTTCTCAGATTATGAAGTAGCTATGGAATTTGAATGGGTTGATTCTTCAGCTCCCAGAATGAACTTTGATTGGCTTAACTGGCCACAGCAATTGATGTGGGAATGAGGCTATGACATAATTTCAACTTAGGAGACATGTTCACTGGAGGTGAACTAGGAAGCACAAAGTCTCGGACATTCGACACTTAAAGAATCAGCAGTCTTAGGATGATGGCAGTGCTACGGACACCAGAGTTCCATGGTTCAGGCTGTTCAGCATCAACTGCTCCTGACAGCCACCCTAACATGCCTCCAGTTTCCTGGACCAACAGATGCCTGTCACTGTTGAAGTTTCTTTGAGTTGGGTCTTCTGTTACTTACAACTTAAATCACTCTCACTGATTGCTATGTACTTCATTGTTCTCCTCCACTTTCCGCCAATCCATATGTTGAAGCCTTAACCCCCAACATGGTGGTCTGTGGAGACTGGGACTTTGGGAGATAATTAGATTTACATGTGATCATGAGGGTGGGACCCTCAAGATGGGGCTAGTATCCTTACAAAAAGTGTCACTAGAAAGCCTCTCTTTCTCTCTCTCTGCCACGTAAGAATACAGCAAGAAGGCAGCCATCTACAAGCCAGGAAGAGAGCCCTTACCAGAACTTGACCATGCTGACACCCTGATCTCAGATGTCCAAACTCCAGAACTGCAAAATAGATACATTTTCATTGTTTAAGCTACCTAGTTTATGGCATTTTGTTACGGCAGCCCAATCTGACTAATACGCTGATACAGACATGTGAGGGTACATGCCACCAGCAGGGTGGTTCAACTGCAGGGCCACACTTACCCAGTGAAGGTGACTCAGCCCAGAGCGTGACGCAGTCTCTTCCCAACCCTTTCTGCATCACCCCTGGGAGAGTCAGCTCCTCCCACAATTGTAGTCCTGACAGCAGGCTTGTGCCTCTGAAATGATCTTGCAAACAAGCTGCCATTGGAGTGCTGAGTGGTAATATCGACTAAAACAATGAAGAAGAAGAGGAGGAGGAGGAAAAGGAGGAGGAAAGGCAAAGAAGAGAGGCGCTGTGGTGAGTAGTACTTCTCAACTCCACCAGAACAGCAGAGAACAATGAAAGCACACCATCAGGACGTCTTGGGGTACAGCCAGAAAGGCCATTACCATTCGTGCCAATATATTTGAA